GATAGTGCTGTATTTAAGTATAATTAAGAGAGAGTGTGTAACCAGGCTCCTAATAAATCCAATCCTCCGAACTAGAACCCATCATTTCATCACCCCTATACATGTGACAATATTTTTGTAGAATATTGAATAACAACATGACTGTCCATGTGAAAATTTTCTTTAGAATTTGGTTTGATGGTGATAACTAATAAATCATTTTTAGCTATGCATGTGAAGTTTTGTGTGATGTAGTGTACACAGGATATGTGCCTAAATAATAAGCTCTTCATAAAAATAAATAAATAACGATGATGATGATGATAATAATAATAATAATAATAATAATAATAATGTGGAGTAGAATAAATATAATTATGTATATGGTTTTTATTATTTTTTTAGAGAACAGTTCCCATGTGAAACAATACAAATCCTTAATGATCACTGTGATGAAGTATGGTTTTGCCGATTCTCCCCAGATGGCCTGAAACTAGCTACAGGCTCAAAGGATACTACAGTTGTAGTATGGGATGTTGACCCAGTAAGTATCACATATTGTTTGTAATATTCTTTTAACTTTTAGATATATATTGTGACTCATTGTGCTATGTAGGACATCCCCTCCCATGCCAGCAGTGATGTGGCGGCATTGGGGCGCTATTGCTACTATGGTAACAGGCCAGTCAACACTCTGCCCCCCTCCCTCACCATGACGTGGCAGAGGAGCAGCTGTGTCAGGCAACCATTGCCGCGGTGACTGCACAGCAGGGAACAACTCTAGACAGTGTTGCCCAGCAGCACCTGTAAACAGGCGACATGGCAGCAGGGAAGCGAGGCGCTTTCCGTTGTCTGGCTGAGGGTTTTTAAGAGAGCTGCACTGCCTAAGGAGTCAGTTAAAGTGTAGCAGTCACCGAAGACAGTTGAATTGTAACAGTTGCCAAGTTCAGTTGTAGTGAGCGAATCGTGAACGTGAAGGATACTGATAGTGTGAGAAGGTATTGGGAGTTTGTAATACAGTGACACTGGTATAGCTCCCGTGTTATAAATATGTGAAGACTACTGAGGACAGAATGAATTGATTAGTGTGTAGGGTTTGTAAATTGTGTGAACCCGTAACAGCGTTATAATTAATTGTAGTTACGATCTGTAGGATGTTAAATAAACTAATTAACAATCGGAACAGCGTCTTCAGTGGCAGAACACGTTACAATATGTATATAGCTTTTTCAGAACTTATTATTCAAAATATTTTGCTTATAGTCCTAAATTTTGTTACAGTTTGTGAGAAAACATTTCCATTTTATTTGCCTTTAACTGTCCGTATGTCAGTACTCTCTTTTAAAGACGTGGTTAAATGTGGATGAAACATATACCACCAATTTTCTTATCAGGCTTTGTTCATGCCCCTACATATTTGGCTGTGCTTGAGAGTGTTTTTGTCATTTTGAGGAAGTTTATAAACATGTTAACATTACATGACAGTTTAAGACTCCTAAGTGATTTGTGGGCCCCCCCTGCTTTCAGAAGGCCCTTTCTGATATCCAAGATGTTTACATCTACTGTGCGAAACATAAGCGAGTCCTATTGTAGGTAGCATGATGCAATAATCCAAAACTGATATATATGCAAGTCAGGCACACTGAAATGAGTTTTAATACCATCTAGTAACTGAAACAGGAACTAAATGTATCTTAAATTGTGTCCGCTCTAGAAGGTTATATGCTGAATGATTATATGATGTTATGTGGGCAGTGAAAGAGTTCATTTGGAACACTTACAATTGTAAAATACAGTTCACTCCCATAAGTGGCCACCATAAGAAAGATTGATAGTTCTCCACTTTATATTGCAGGATACGCTAACTTGCACGCATCGTAAAACTTTGGAAGGTCACTCATATGGTGTTGCTTACATTGCATGGAGTCCTGATAGCACTCACCTCATTGCCTGTGGTCCAGAAGACTGTCCGGAACTCTGGATATGGAATATTGAATCAGACGAACTGCGTGTCAAAGTATCTCATTCACCAGAAGACTCACTGACCTCCTGTTCATGGCATCGGGATGGCAAGAAATTTGTTACAGGAGGGATACGAGGACAGTTCTACCAATGTGCAAGTATTCAGTATGCTTTTGTGTTGGGTTGTCTACCATAATATTCACACCACACTAATATCTATGTAATCTAGCATTAAAAGTGTTCTTAATAATATCAGTTTTCTTGGTTTTCCATCACGTGTACCCCCATACACATGACAGTGTTGTCTTTGGGATGTATTTTATGAGGATATGAAAGTAACAAAGAATAAGAAGAAAGCAGTCTTCTGGGATGTGGCACCATGTATATGTGGTGTTAACCAACGTTTTGGAAGAATGTATCTCTTCCATCTTCAGGGTAGAAGGAAAAATAAGAAAATCCTCTAGCGAAGAGACAGTGAGAACAGGTGCAAGCAGACTAATGTTGGAAATAACTCAGCTATATGAGAGCAGGGAAGGAAGGGGAGGGGGGAGAAGTCTACATGGGAAATCAGTGGAGAGGGAGAGGGGAAGGGTCTGGGACAGGAGCAAGGTTAGTGCAGGTATAGGATATTGTGTTGGGGGAGAAAGGCAAGGTTAATGGGAGGGCATTAACCCTGAAGCTGGGGCAGTTGCTATGTGAGTTGGTCATGGACTGTGTGGCCTTGTGGATCTGGCGTCATGTCCCGGGAGGGTTTTTTTGGGGAACAGATGAGAGGCTTCCATGACTTGCTGAGACAACCCCCCCCCCCTCTTTCTGTTCATATTATCGGGATGGAGTTCAATCTCAATGGCTTCCCTAATGATGCGATCCATATATCGGGTCTTGGTAGCAAGGATGGAGGTATTCTGAAGCTGAATGCGGTGTCCCAAATCGATGCTGTGTTCAGCTACAGCTGACTTGTCTGGATGTTCGAGACGGATATGCTGCTGATGCTCCTTCAACCTCATGTCCACGGAGCGGCCTGTCTGCCTACTATAGACCTTGCCGCACTCGCATGGGATACTGTATACACCCGGTGTTCTTAGTCCCAGGCTATCTTTGACCAGCTGGAGGAAATTTGTTTGGAGGCAGACCCACTGATTTGATGTTGTACTGGGACAGCACTCTGCTGATACGGTTGAATATAGTCCCAACATAGGGAAGGAAGGTGACTGAGTCTGGTTTATCTTCAGGCCGGCTGATGTTGGGCTGATGGTTGAGAACTCTGTGGATCTGCCGGTTGTTGTATCCATTCTTCCTGAATACATCCCACAGGAGCACCAACTCCGCATGTAGGCTGTCTTGCTCACAAAGAGCTCTAGCCCTGTGCACCAGTGTGGAAAGTGCAGCTTGCTTGTTGGAAGGGTGGTGGTGGGACACAGTGTTAAGGTAGAGGTTTGTATGGGTGGATTTGCGCTACACTCTATGGCCCAGAGAACCGTCGGGTCTCCTGTAAATATCTATATCCAGGAAGGAGAGGTGGCCCTCAGTCTCCATTGTGAACTGAATGCACTGGTGGATACTGTTTAGGTGGTTGAGGAAGTCCTTAAGCTTGTTGGGCCTGTGTGGCCAGATGATGAAAGTGTCGTCCACGTAGCAAAAGCAGCGGGGCTTGTGTGGTGCAAAGTCAAGTGCCCTCTCCTCGAAGTCCTCCATATATAGGTTAGAGATGACCGGAGAGAGTGGTGAGCCCATTGCCACACCATTGGTTTGTTCATAGAACTGGCCATTGAAGTTGAAGTATGAGGTGGTCAGGACATGGCGGAAGAGTCTCAAGATGTCTTCTTCGAAATGTTGTCCTAGCAGATCCATAATATCCTTTATAGGCACCCTGGTGAAGAGTGACACTACATTGAAACTGACTATTATGTCATGGGGATTGACATGGAGAGCACAATGAGTGGACAAATTCCATGGAGTTATTTACGTGATGTGGACAGTTGCCAGTGTATGTGCTCAGTAGGCCAGCTAAGTGTTTGGCCAGGCGATAGGTAGGAGAGCCAATGGTTCAACAATCTCATCATTGTTAGCATTGTCTGAACTGAAAGTTTAAGATTTTTGGAAACTTACGTAACGTCTTCTACTAGTAACTCACTGTTAATTATTTGCCATCCTTCAGAAGCAAAAGCCCTGCCCACTATTTGTTGCATGCTAGCAAGTGCCTTGGTAAGCAAGCCAAGTGACACAGTGCACAATGGAACAAGCAAGTGGACTGATGAGAAAATTCAGAGGGCATCACATGATATGCATTTTTCAGTGGTTAAAGCTTCAAAGTTGGGGGGGGGGGCTACTCTCAGATCCTGGAGTGCAAACTTTCTCCTAGACAGTGGCAGGGCTGGAAGGTTGGTTAATGGAACCTGAGGAACTTGTAAGTACAGAAGCAGAACTGCAATAAAGTTATGGGGAAACAGTGGCAGCTGGCTGAATCACTCATCATGACAGAGGTGCTGGAAAAAACCTGTGTTTTATGTGATGGTTTTCCACGTTTCTGACATTTAGAAATTGATGGTTCCCATGGTTTTTGTTCCAGTAATGGGGTTCTTGTTATAAGCTATACTCACTCTATCATGGCTTCTTTATACACGTATATGCATGTCATGATGTAGAGGCATGATTCTGTTCATCAATTTGTGACCAGGTGGAAACAGCACTCTTGCTGAATACGTTTTAACCCTTCCGCACCGACATCCGTGTGCTTCACCGACCCTTTANACACTTTTAGACCATACTTGACATACAGGGTTGCCACTTGAAACTAAAATTAACCTTTACTACTCATTACACATTAACTAAATCATCACATGTATCAGTCAAAAATCGTAGAACTTACTGTGATGAATGTTTTAGATGTGTATTTTTATGTACACTTAGTCATGAAATTTGATACAAATTTTTTTGAGCCTAAATAATGACTATGAGTGCCTTCAGCATGTATCTTTTCACTCACAATTTATCATGAATGATTTGAGACATTTAGCAGGAATAAATTGGGAGATGGCATTCTCCCCTGTAACATGTCAGTCTTTAATTTTCTCCAGCAGTTTTCCTTTTTATAGTACAGAATTAGAGATAGCACATTATAACTTCTTTGGATATTTATTTGCCTGCTATTGTAATTTTAATAGTATATTACTTGATAAATTTTTGGTATTTATGTTAGTTGAAGGTTTTATGTACACCATAATATCTCTTACTGGTTACAAGGATCTTGTTTTTTTTTGCCAGTGTTTAAATAAGGAAAATAAATAGAAGAATAAAGTGAGATGTTACTAAATTTTATAATGGATGAAGGAAGATGTTTTATGTTGACATGATTTTGCAGCATGTTCAATTATTTAAATACCTCTTACAGACACATTTTCTTCCACACTGTATTTATCATATTGACATTTTTTTAATTCACTTAGGGGGGGTGGAGTCCAACTGGGCCCACTCAGCACGGTGGCCACTGATTGGCCTATTGTAGCTTGCCTTGGGTGATTATCATGATGGAGAATTTGGTGGAATGAAGATCGGCAGGGGAAGCCAAAGTACTTGGAGAAAACCTGCCCCAGCGCCACTTTGTCCACCACAAATCCCACTTGATCAGGCCCAGGATCGAACCCGGGCTGCCGCGGTGGGAAGCCAGTGACTAACTGCTTTAGCTATGGCATGGCCCATCATATTGACATTGCTTTTAACCATAAATGTCTGTGGTGTCAGTTCATAACTGAACACTTTACATCAGCATATATGAGTTTCTGTGTAAATTACATGAAGTAATTTAAGGAGATGTTTTGTAGGATCTGGAGGGAAACGTCTTGGACTCATGGGAAGGTGTTAGAGTAAACTGCTTATGGTGCCGCAGTGATGGCAAGACTGTTCTTGCTGCCGATACCCATCATCGAGTTCGTGCATACAACTTCGATGAGTTGTCAGACTTCAACATGTAAGTAGGATCTGAAGTTCTCACAGAGGTGGCTGTGAAGATTTCTGTCTTCAGGGATATAGTGCTGTGTAGTCCAGTGAAAGTCATCTCATGTTTTGGAGGACCATGTTGCCTCCTGAACATTGGTTGACTTTCAGTTGACTGCACAGTGTTATATCCCAGAAAATAAAACTTTTCAACATGTTAGTTCAGTATTTCTGATGCCATCCCCCCCCCCACCAGAACTCAATGATTTTTGTCTTAGTAAATAACCCACATTTAGTGAATAATTTTTGACCTTCAAGAACTTGTACTACAATTTAGTGTGATTGTTTTTTAAACAAAAATCAATATTCACATTTTCTGTCTGCCAAAAATTGTTACCACATAACCATAATCTTTGATAAATTATGTCACTTTGTACACAGACTGAAGACACACTGCTTGTGGCATCATGGTTCTTCGGTTGTTGATTGAGTACTTCAGTGTTTATTTCATATGTTATTGATTGATTATTATAGTTTTGGGTCTGCCTTAGTTGAAAGTTGGATGAAGACTCTTCAGGGATAGTGAACTTTCTCTGAATCCTGGGGTCCCCTAACCACAGCATCCAAAAGAAATCCACTCCTCCGAACATGTACTATTGGTCTAATGTGAAAACTAGGAGGTTCTCTAAATTGGTGACTTTCCACTCATGTTGCTTTGCTATGTGGTTCTGACAGTTACTGACCTAACGCTAAAATTGACAGCGACTAGATGTATTAAGATCAGGGGATGAGGCTCAGGCATTCCCTCTTCTAAGTAATAACGGCTCTAAACAGTCAGCTCTTGAATTCTGCTGAAACTGCCAGAATTCCAGGAAATGTACCAGATGTTACTTCCTGTCCACATAGCAAACTTGAATGATGTCACTTGTCAGTGTAAAAAGGTGGCTGTCTGCCAGGTTTGTAGATTACATGGTCTTAACTTAATACAATTTTAATTAACATGAAAGAGTCCAGCAAATTATAATGAACAGTTACACTTCTGTAGAATCACCATTTATTTTGTTTGTTAAATAATAAGACAGAATGTTTTGGCCTGTTACATCTCATGATATGACATGTACCTAAAATAATTAATGATGTAAGCATGAAAATCATAATGGGAGACTGAGGTTGACTCCATGGAGATCGATGTGTGTTGTAATTGAGTTTGTTTATTGATTTGATGTGATAAAGGCCTATTGGATAAAAGTTCACTGTTAGTAGAATAAATTTTTGAAATACTTATTACTATTCTGTTAGAAAAACTGTTAATCACACCACTGCTTATGAAAACGCTGAGGGTCAGGGTATAGATAGTAATCATTTTGTCATTTGTTTTTATGGCTCCTTGATGTGGTTATATACTTTAAGGGGAAAACTTAGAAGGATTAAATAAGAGCAGTTCAGGGTATTACATAATGAGAAACTTATGATTTATAAATTACATCAAGTATTATTGGCCTAATGAAGTCTAGGGGTTACAGTGGGCTGAACATATTGCTAGAATGGGGTAGACAAAGAAACAAAACAAACTCCATGGTTTTGGTCCACAAGTGAACTATACCGACTGAGCAACTGCCGCTTGTCGGCGAAGTTAGTGCAAACTTTAGCAAATAGAGGGTGTCGCATGGTCAGCATATGACCATTAATTTCAGTTTTCTAGACCGGAGCCGCTATTTCCTTGAAATAGCTCTTCAATTGTCCTCATGAGGCTGAGTGGACCCTGTTCCAGACCCACTACTTCTCAAAAAATGTGGTAGCACCGGGAATTGAACCTGGACCTCTGGATGACAAAGAATGCTTACAGAATTTTGGTAGGGAAATTTCTCTGAAATTAGCCACTTGGAAGACTGAAGTGGATAAGAGATGGTATTAAGACGAACCTAGGAGAAGCAGGTTGTGAGAATGGGAAGTAGATGTTATTGGCTTAAGGTTGGGCTTTGGTGGTAATGTTGGACCTTAGAATTTTGCAGTTAGAATGTTAACAGATAAAGATGTAACAAAAATTTGATACATATAAAAAAGGAGACTTATAGCTAGTGCGTGAACATCTCAAGGTTACTGTTCAGTTCACAGAGTAGAATAGTATATGGTGCTGGCTTATGATGAAAGTTTGGAGACCCAGGGCAGAATGACTTTTCTTTCTAATGACAAATTGAGAGTATCCATAAAGCTTTGAAGATCTGAAGAAAGATAGTGAATGGTATAAATTTCAAGATGGAACGTGATGATAATATGATAGTGGTGTTGCAAATAATAATGACAGTAATGAAAATGCTGTAAAGAATTAAATTTACAGCAGAGAGGTTTTGAGGAACAACAATATGAACGGTATGTATAAATAGACTGTAAATTGCTCTTATAATCTCTGGACTGCAGATGACAAATGGAACATATTCATGAATATATTGAATTCAGGTCTTGGATTTGTTGCAGATTGCAAGAGGACCATCCAGTAATGGCTTTCTCAGTAAACCGTACAGACCGCTTGGCATTGCTCAATGTGGCTACTCAAGGTGTTCACTTATGGGACCTTCAAGATAGGTGCCTGGTGCGAAAGTTCCAAGGAGTTACTCAGGGCCACTTCACAATTCATAGCTGTTTTGGTGGAATTAACCAGGACTTCATAGCAAGTGGAAGTGAAGGTAAATAAACTTTCAAGTTATAGCAATCAGTTGAGAATTGTATATGAACATATTCCATGAGATGAAATATCATTCCCTTTTTCACTTCGGCTAAAGTCGCTAAAGAACCATCTCATTTCAATCTGCTTGTATAAAACTTGTGTTGAAATCCATTGTATTACTATTGTTCATCCATCTTCAATTATCATCTTTCTAATTGAAGGATGACATAGATTAGGGATACACAAACACTGATCTGGATTCTCCTATTTGTGAAGCGTTTTGAAGACTTCAGCCCTTGTTTTTTGCATTATACCTCGGAAAGGATACACTTCTTTGTCGTGGGTGATTCTGTGATGCTTGCAGTACCTGAACTATATAGTGTCAGATAGTAGAATCATTGATGAATTGGAAAGGAAAACCTCAGTCAGGATAGCTGGCATCCTAGCTGATGTTCAACCGAGCATCTCCCAAATCCAAGTCTAAAGGATTACTGCCAAACCAACCAGATTGATGACAACACTTCTTGCATAGCATATCAGACAAATTTCATATTACTACCATGAAAGAGATTCGGTTGTCAGTGTATCCAGTTATGACTTGAAATCATTTCATATTTTTTTTGTTCAGGGCAATTCTACTTAACTTAAAATGAATACCTTGCTGATATTTATAATTTTGTATGGATTGTTTTAATTGTGAAAAGTGATGGGCTATAAACTTGAATGTCTGAGGTTTGACTACTGGTAGCTGTGTTGGGAGTTCTTCCTGCACAATCATGTCCAGTACCACTTTGGCACCCACCCATCTTGTAATTCAGTGTATATGAGAGGTGGTTCACCCAAAGCTGAAAGCTGCTGAGGCATCAGATTGGTCATGTACATCCACCTTGAGCATCCTTCATATAGCCCATACACCTGTATGACATGATACTAAGTACAGAGAATAATGCTCCTCTTACTTATTTGGGATGTGATGAATATTGAATACAGCATTCTCAAAGGTTAATTCTGGTCTTGATTAAATAACACGATTAAGAAATATCAATTTTGGTATCTATTAAAAGCACAGTGTTAAAAACATCTAAAAAGTCAGTCATTTTGCATGTTTTGAGAAGTAAACTTGGATTTTCAAAATGGTCTAATTTTGGTTGAAATCCAGATTATATGAATCTATTTGTAATACCTGAATTTTATTCTGCAATGAAACTCTTTATTATGCATATACAAGGGCTATTCGGACAGTAAACTCCAGTGAGCTTTTAACAGAATGAGCAACGAGAAAAAAATTATTATGTACAGAAAATTATGTACATGCTTAAGCTACTTCTCAACTCAGTACTGGAATTTAGGCACTTATCATATTGGAAAATAAGTTTTTGTATGCCTGTGTCAAGGAAGTCTGCTTGCTGTGAGATCAGCCATGTTTTGACATCCTCCATCAGCTCCTCATTATTGTTGAATTGCTGTGATCCCAACCACTTCTTCAGGTAGGCATACAGGTGGTAGCAACTTGGAGCAAAATCAGGTTTGTAAGGAGGATGGTCAGACAGCTCCCGGTTTAAATGCTCTAGCAGTCCTTGAGTGAGCAGCTGTATGTGGACATGCAGTGTTATGAAAGAGCACTACACTGGGTGTCAGCATTCCGCGCCTTTCATTCTGAATGACCTTACACAGTTTTTTTAGTGTCTCGCAATATACTTTTGACGTTATTGTAGTTCCTTGTTGCATGAATTCCACTATCACCACTCATTTCCCCCCCCCAAAACAGTTGTCATAAGCTCTTTTGCAGACAGCGTTTATTTAAACTTTTTCGGCTTGTTTGGTGAATGTGCGTATGTCTGCTGCTTTGATTGTTCTTCAGTTTCAACTTTCACAAATGAAACGCATGTTTCATCCTGTTACTTGTATGGTGTGTTGGAGAAGTACATCGCAGTCTTTATGGTATCACTCTTTAAAAATCAAAGCTTAAGATATTCTTTGCATTTTGTGCATACCTGTGAGCATTTTTGGAACCCATCTTGTGCAAAACTTGTGATAGCTTAGCCTAACTGTGATAATCTTGTAGAGAACAGTGAATGAAATTTGTAGAAAATCACATGAAAGTTCTGAAATTGTGAAGTGCCGTCTTTCACAATTTTTTTGGTCAACACTTTGAACAAGGTCATCACTCACTGCAGATGTCCTGCTGACCATTTTACTCTTCATCATGAATATTTGTTCACCCGTTCATCTTTGAACATTCTACACCATTGTCTTACAGTTCCTTCACTCATTGCATATTGGCCATAAACTGTGCACAATTCACAGTGGATTTCTGCAGCACTCACGTTTTAGCATGAAGAAAGCAGATAAGAACACAAACTTTGCAGCTGGTAGGATTATCAATCATAGAACACTACATAACTAATTCTGTAGAGACAAGAACAAGCACTAGGTGATCAATTATATGATCATTTACAAGGCCATCAGTCTTGTGACGCTGCCTCGCGTATGCAAGCTCTGCCCCACTCCTATGTTAGTTGCCTAAAATAATTGGAGGTTACTTTCTGAATAGCCCTCATATATGTAGATCTACACTATTTTCAAAACCATGCTCTTTGCTGATTCTGGAAAAATTGCCGTATTTAGGCTTCCATATCCATGCATGACCAAATAACTTACTAGTACTGATGATTCGCATATAAACTTTCTAAGTATCAAGCTGTAGAGATAAATCATGGATTTGAAATATGTCAGACAGAATTGTTATTTTATGTTTTGTTCACACACTGAGTGTAATTAAACTGCCATTTTGTTGCAGATGTTTATGTAGGAAGTGGATAGAGAATGATAAGTATTTTATAAGCTGAACATTTGTAATGTACTTATAATTTTTCAGACATTTTACTCTTGTTACAGATACATGCACAATTAATATTGTAACATGTGCTTATCCAGTGAGACTAACAAATAGTATTTATGCAGGAACCCAGCATGTGTGTACAGAGGAGCATAGGAAACTTTAGAAGTATTGTCTTTTGGTGCTCACAGTTCTTGTAATTGATGTTGTCCGTTACAGACAACAAAGTATATGTGTGGCATATCAAGCGTGAGCTTCCGATTGCCACTCTGACTGGCCACACCCGAACAGTCAACTGCGTTGCCTGGAATCCTGTACATCACCAGATGCTGGCCTCCGTTTCTGATGATTGTACAATCAGAATATGGGGTCCTGCTAACAAACACCAAAATTCAAGATCTAAATCTGGTAATAAATAATTTGAAAGATTTGTCCTTGTAAGTTAATATAATTAATCCATTTGAGTTTACTGATAAATGCATGCTTCTCACCTTTCACCTACAGATCTGACTTTGGAGCAAAAATTGCATGAATATACCCTCAGGTTGAATGAAATTAACTTCATACAAATAAAATCTTGGAGTGTCTTGATGTAAGGAGTCATATTCCTTTGTGACTTTGACAGAACCATACCAGTAGGATATTCAGAAATGCAAACACATCACTGTAGTCGTGAATAAGATTTTATGCAAGAGAAACAACTTAATTTGGAATAAACATCTGATGTATGTGCAGATGTAACAATATGGGGAAGGAATGACAAGGAAATTGGGGTTGGTAGGGTAGTTAAGTGATTAGAAAATCATGTGAAGGCATACTTCATTGGACTGTGTGACAAACAAAATGTGCTATTTGTTAGAAAGAAGTGTGCCGAATATTCTTATAGATTTATCCTTCCATAACCTATGGTTGATTATGTCAAAATTAGGATTGATTCAAAATTCTCTCATTTTGTTTTAAAGTCATTTGTTGCTGAATGTAAAAGTGATGATAATGAGGCTCTTTAATATTTCTGAAGGAAAAGATTTTGGAACATGGTTTCCACAAGTTGTACCAAAGGTAAATAATCTCTTTATATGGTAACATTATGGAGCTTGGGATTGTAATCATGTCATAATGACGAACTTCTATTTTTGGGTGTACAGCAGCAGTGCACAGCCTTTTTCTTGTGAAGGGCCACATTGGCACATAGTCAAACTGCCCTTTGCATGCCATGCAATGTAGGCTATATAGAGAACAGCCATGTTTGTGTTTGTTGTCATTAGTGGGAACACTGGAACTGCTTTTGTAGAGAGAAGGCCAAGTGGAATTTCTGGGTTACCTGTCCTGTAAAAAATTGTACTAGAAAAATTAGAAATTTATGTAGATGATAACATTAAAATGTTCATAAGTAATTAAAACATCAAACAAATAAACTCCGTGGCCTGTAGCCCATAAGTGAACTATACTGACCGAGCGAGTGCCGCTTGTTGCTGAAATTAGTGCCAACTTTTGCAGATAGAGGGTGTTGCGTGGTCAGCGCAATGGATACCCATGCCCGTTAATCTCAGTTTTCTAGACTGGAGCCACTATTTCCTTGAAATAGCTCCTCAATTATCCTTACGAGGCAGAGTGGATCCCATTCCAGACCCACTACTTCTCAGAAAATCTAGTAGCGCTGAGAATCGAACCCGGACCTCTGGATTTGTAGCCAGGAACTCTGACCACTAGACCACAGAGGCGGTCATTAAAACAACATTTAATATGACTTGATCCTGCATTATTAATATCAATGTAAAATGATAATTTCATTCAGGAAGCTGATACAATGTTGTAAGTTCACTTACAAGTTGGTATTTCCCTTGCAGATCACAGGTCATTCAGGTGCCCACATATGTCTGTAAGGAATGCCAGATCACATAACCAACTTGCACCTTCAGAGTGACTGACCAGTTGTCATTCTCAGTAAAGAAAAATTGTATCTCTTATATTAGTGATAGAAAATATTGCAGAACCTTACATTTTCCAAGCCACTGAACTTAGTGATACACAAGATCACAGTATTCACGCTTTTTCCAATAGGTTTTGTTTATGGTTAATGCAGTGTTGCTGTATAAATTTATTCTGGAGAGCTAACTCATGCATATGTTTATAAGAACTAGTTATGGAAGGCACACCATCAGTAATTGTTACCACAAACTTAGTTCCAAATTGACGATTACATAATACTGCCTGAATGAAATCTCATCCATTTATCTGGTTTCATTGATTGGGCATCTGCAAGTTCTTTGAATGCTTTGAAACAAAATATTGATTACCTGCCTTTATACTCTCATTTGGTTTGTACTGATGGCTTCATATTTGATCATGCAGTTTGTGCAGCAGAGCTTCTGTGAAGCAAGAAGTAATTTTTTTATACAAAAGTGCCTTCAGTAATTGGCCTTGAGCAATTGACAGTTAAGTGGGGTATGTCAAAACGCACTCAGAATAAGGAGAAACACAAGAACATTTTCTATAAGTACTTTGTTCAGATTTCAGTGCTTCACTAAACAAGTTACTTTTTGTTTATGGAATTCTTCAGAATGTTCCCTTTCAAATGTTGTCTCAAGTTGTGCTGTTCTGGCATGTTTACACTTTGCTTATATTTCATGCATGTGACACAGCCTCTATTACTTCGTTTTTACCTTTTATGGCCATTACACTTGAAATACATTATTTTCTTGTTTCAACTTTTTCTTCTTTGTTTTACCCTTGTCAGGTATGGGTATTAGTTAGGATGTGAATAGTTTCACATAGAACGCAGACCTTTAATGATTATTATGTCACAGCTCAATACATTAATGTTTAGAAGTGCTTTCCTAGGGCAATTTTAATAATAGAACTCACAGTTCAAAAATAAATCATATTCACAAGAACACAGTATACAGACACAGCACACCACTTGAACATGTCACTGCCGCCCATCTTTGAAGCCACACCTGTGACTCTGTTTGGACTTGATAATTTCTCAAAGGTTTTGCTTTGCATGACTAGCTCCTGGGAATGTCTCCATGAGCAAATGAACTCTCAGCTGTATCGGATTTTGCTCAGCCATTCAGAATAAGGGAAAAGAAGGTAAATCTATCCCTGTAACAGGATGTGGAGGCCCATAGGGTTGTGAGATGTCAAGGCTCCCACATTTTCCAGTCAGCCAGCTCACAGATGGCGGTGAGGTTGTCAGCCTTATGCACCGGTCATCCTTTACCCCTAGGAAGATTCCTAGTACTCATTTCTATTAGAGGCTGAGTCGGCCCCAGGAAGAATTAGGTCAGTTGAAGAATATAGCACAAATTTTTAACTTGCCTTTTAGATATACATATACTATATATATATTTGCACAGTCACTATTTATTATTTTGTATTTATTTCTTTCTTTCACATATCTATTAATATATCACCAATTTAATTTGTAATCAGTTTTTACAAAATATTTACATCCTTCCCCTTTTAAGGATATATGCCACAGTTCTTTACAAAGATAAAGTTTTTCTCTAACAAAAATGAGTACCAGGAATCTCCCTAGGGGTAAAGAATAGCCAGTGCATGAGGCTGACAGCATCACTGCCTTCTGTGAGCTGATTATCTAGAAAATAATGGGAGTCTTTGACGTCTCACTGCTGTATGGGCCTTCACGGCCTGTCAAAGATGTCCCCCCCCCCTTACCTTACATCCTTCTCCTTTGAATACTTATACAAGACTGATTTAGAAGCCGAGCATCATGACACTTCTAAATTCCAGAGTGCTTCTGTTTGTTAAAGTTGCCCCCTTATTGCACTTTAATTGGTTTAATTTTTAATTTGAGGTGGTCTTTAGTATTTATATTGACCAGTCAACTACTTGCTGTACAGCTTGGGTATCACGTCTGTCATGCTGTGAACAGCTTATTATCCCTGCACGTAGTCTGGCATTGCTTGCCTGTTCTGAGCACCTGCTGTGATACTGTGTTATATTTCCAAGGAAGCAGTTCATTTCTGGTGCATATCAAATGTTTATTCTACTCTTTCGATATTGTTCCTTAACTTTGCAAACTGAACTAACCCTTTCTGGTCATAGAATTATGAAAAATTTCTGCAGTCAGGACGTCATGGGTTTTTAAATCCTGCTGAGCTACTACGTGACCAGTTTTGCCCAAAAAGTTGGTACAACAAAAAACAATATATGTACTTACATTTTCTATTGTCCAGTTCTTGGGCCAACTCAACGCTGCTATAATATCTGTCAGTGAAAAGGTGGTAGTCTTCAGTACCAGACATGCTTGAGTCCTAGTTTGTCTATCAAGGAAAGAATTATTCTTAAAATGAACGTTTTTTTTTTTTTAAGATTATAGCAAGTTACACTCGTCGCCTGTAAGTTTTCTGTAATTTGGAATTATACTGTGAACATAACCAGTGTCACTTTCAGCTAATACAAATAATCTGATGCTGCACTTTGTTGTTTTCTCTTTTAATTGTAAATTTTGAAAATTATTTTGCACTTGAACCCAAGTATTAATTCATCTGTTGCAATGCTCTTACCTGGCACAAAATTTGTCTGAAACTGTTTCTCTATATGTTCTCTCACCCTGTGTACTTTCTTATTCTTTCTTTGGTGATGTAATTTCCCCACATGCATCATCCAAATTATCTGTAAAAAGCCATCTTTGGACATTATGTCACCAAAAAATTTTATCTGTGTTTTCCTCTCAGTATACCAGCAGTCTTTTATGTAGGTAATGGGATTAGTCCCATATTTATAATTAGACCTAAAAACAGCTTCACTTCAGGAACAGACACATGAGACCACCTACTCCAAATGGACCACTAGCTTAAATGAAGTTCAGCAATTTTGTGTCTCACATACCTGTTTGTCTCTGTAACCGTGTTATTCAAAAGCTCATCATTGAAAAATAAAATATAATAATCCATGGGCTCTGCATCTGGCATAAGGTTAAATTGTGGCCCTGCATTTTTAGTAAATGTGTATGTCTTGGGTTTCTTTTCACCCATTGTCTAGCCTTCCGACCCGTCAGCATGCAACAACACTTGTTTCACTCTTGTTTTCGGACATTTCATTGCTCGATTCTTCACTCATAGTTTCTTCAATTTTCAAATGAATCTCATCATCAGAGGCGATATTGAGTTCACTTCACATATCAATACTAGATTCTTCATCCACACCACACAAGGGATTATATCTCAGTTTCTTCAATCCAAAGGGCTGAGGTTCGGCTGAACGTAAAAGCATGCTACTAACATGTGACACGTTGTAATATATAAATGATGGTCATTCCTCAAGAAGTTCAAATAATGACTTCCAGATGGCAGAAGAAGGCAGACAAAACATTCCTGTATGCATTGGCACAGAATACAGTGGCCAGTAGCGACATATAATCAACATATGACTGGAGAAATGCAAAAGAAACTTTGTGGATCATATATTGACATTTGTGTGTGGAAGCACTGTCACCATGTTGAGTATATATCGACATATGACAGTAAATGGCTAAGCGGCAATGGTATTTGTATCCTATAAGTTGCCAACACTTGTTAATTATGTTTCTTTTGATATTACTCCTTAGGTTTGAGTGGTTACAGACAACTTGACTCAGAACTGCAGACTGAGAGCCATGTATGAACACTGAAATGTTTCTTTGGTTGACAACACAAACAGAAATACCTCACTGCAAAATACTATGATTGCAGGTGGTTGTTCATTTATATGGATTTATATTGTGCCAGAATTTGAATTGCAGCAATGAAAACATACCTGTAACTGCATTTATTTATGTGTCACATACCATTTGCTTTGGTGGCTGCAGCTTGTGCTTCATTGGTGTGAAGTATTCCCAGAGAACTTTCTAGGTGCTTGCTTATTCAAGAAACTCTTTTCTCTGAAGCTGAGGGTTCATCATGAAGTAGATAAATTTGCTTGACATCTTCTGCTTATATCTAAATCTCCCACATGGTTTCTATCTGTGAAGTTTTGCAACCTGAATTTTGTACATGTTGGTCACAGTTACGGTCTTTCCTTCTCACCCTCCATGATTTAACCCTTAAACTGTATTAAGTGATGAATTCAGAGTGTAATTCTTCTTGCTGTGTTATTTTTCCAGCCTCCATCATTTCTTCTTTCTGAGGATCATATTTTTGTTTTCAGATTCCTGCTATCTCTCATCTTCCCTTTAATCAAGAAAGCAAGTTATATGCTGATATGCTACAAACGATAGAATTACAGTTGTATATATTTTAGTGTATGTTAACAGGAGGCTGCACAAAAGTGCATAATGGAAGCTTCATAATTTGATTATTTCAGGTTACATGGGAGAGTCACCTTCATCTTCCTCATCTTCGTCCAATGGGAGTGTGTGGCATGACATGGGCTCATAGTAGATGCAGTTCTTCAGTACTCCCATTTCTGCTCCTCCCTATTCCCATCTCTTACTCTGGCTCACCGTGGCTTACACAGATGTCTTGTCAGCATATTAACTGCCACTACAACATAATACCAAACACTTCTGTGAATGGGAGTTTTGTCACCAGTTTGTAGTGGAAAAGTATGTTATATATATAATATACATGGATTACCCAATTGTAACTGAACATGTAATGGAAGAACTAAATCCAAAGTAGTTAATATTAATGAAATTAGAGAAAAGTTGAAAAAATGTGGTTGGAAAGCATACCCTCTGTACCTTAATTTCAGTAATGTCTTGCCTTAAAAAGTATGTTTGGTTTAATAACTTGTATTTTATGAATTTTATTGTGAATGGTGCTGAGATTGGTTGTGCATTTGCACTTCTAAAGTCAGGTTTCTAAAGGAAGTACTGTACCAAGTTGCTGATAATGAAACAACAATGACAAATCATATCACCACCAGAGTTTAAGGTTGATGTAATCTGCCAATCCCATTGCATGCCAAGTACCACAATAATTGTATGTTGAGTGGCTCTTAACTTCTGCTGTTGCAAACTTGTGGTAGAAGATTTATATTTGAAGGTTTGAGCTTTAGTTGTGAAAGTCCTGTGTGTTGCATTGTGCCACTGTGTTTCACAGAAGTTGGTCTTCTGAAGCTGCTGTAATATAAAACTTTTATCATAATGGCTGTTTCAGAGGAATCTCTTGAGAAATTGTGTTATAACCCATGAAGTCAGATTTGTGTAATATTTAATTAACAAGTAATACTTCTCATTTATTATTCATTTGGAATGAACACCAAGCAAGTAGGAATTTAAGTCTAATATTGTCAAAAGAACTAGATATTCTTGTGTGCAAAACTCAATTTGATGGGAGTGTAGATAGTATATATACTGTATAAGTATGGTACAGATCAGTATCTTTGTAATGTATATATTTTTTATTATTATTATTATTATTATTACTTGAGGAGTTTCCTTCTGTGATGGCATGAGAGGTCTTGGAGCACCAGCAGTTTGGGTGGTGTAAGTCAGTGCTGACAATTCTAATATTCTGCCTAGATGTCAATCCATGGACAAATTGGATTCTATTTGTCACATAAAATACCACATGTCCCCTTCTAACATGGTGAGATGTGGGCATAAAGCCACACATTTGTTAATTTGTTATAGTGACTAATGACTTACACCATCAGTGAATAAAGAGAATTTTATGAAAAGAGAAGTTAACAGCTGTAATTAACATGTCTATACAATTGCATTTGTATGGTACACAGGAAGTAGAAAATTTAAAAGTAGTAACTATCCTCTATTTGTTCATGGTCATCTGTTTTTGTGCAATTTCAGCTAATAATTTTCCATGCAAAATTTGTTGTATGTATGAACAGCATTGCATTGATAAGACATATCTGAAGAACTAAGGATTAACTGATGTCTGTGAGTCTTTTTCGTAAATTCCCAATAGTTCAAATTGATGATTTATACACATTGTTCATTACATTTCAGCAATACTAAATATATAATTTTTTCTGATAAGCTGTGTAATATAAAAACATTGTATCATCCCTTTTTGATAAAAATGTGGAATAGTTGAAGCACATAAATAGAATGGGGAAACACAGAAGATTTCTCCATGTACTGATGGCATTCGCTCCTGATACTAGATATAAGCAATGAAATATGCTTTTGTTTCTTTGCCACATCTGCATGGAGTTCCTTGGTCTCTGTAGGCTTTTAAGTTATTTTCTTCAAGTTTCAAATCAGATTTAATTGATTTGCCACAAGTTCAAAATTGTGTCTCAGAAAAAAGAAATTAAATTTACAGAGTCAAGAAATTATAATCTTCAGAAAGAAAAGTTGTAAGGATTGCATTTAGAATCATTTACTTGGAGGAAAGTCTTTGGAAAATAGAAGAAATAATGTTAGAAATGGAATTACTGTACCTGTTTTAATCTTGATATATATTCCTTTATCAGTGGAAGGGGAGAATTAAAACAGTTACAACTTGAGAAATAAATTTCTTGCCATAATGCAGGTGCAAAGTGATTAGGTTTGAAGAAGATGACATAATATCAAAATTCTGTATCCAGTGAGTACTTGCATCAATGACAAAATCTTTATGAGTACCATTTGGCAAGAAAAATTTGTCGAACATTTTAAGTACACTGAGCTAAAATTTTGTAGTAATTGCTGGGAATGTTATCTGAATCAATACCAGAAATATGATATTTCAGATTTTCTCATATGTTTATAGCAATTTTGGAGAATACTGCTGGAATTGTAAGTTGAGACACTTAAATAATTACATGGCATACTATTATTTCTGTAAAATATGAAGATAAAGCCAGATGCTAAAATGAAAAAGAAAAATTGGGAGCTCTCTGCAGTTCTATCAATTATTAAGGAAGTAGTGGCAGAATGTTACATTAAATTGAAAAGAAAATGATTACAACTATTGGAAAAGAAGGGTAGTAACTTAACATTTTATTTCTATAATCCTATCTGAATTTCTTAATTATAACAAGTACATGTCATGTTTTCACAGATTTTACATGTGTGTTGGTTGCTGTTCTTACATAATTTTGTAAAGTAATAGGAGAAGTGTCTTAAAATAGCTCACATATGTCAACTTCATTCTCAGAAATTATTTCAGTGACTTGTATGATAAAGTTCTTGTTACAGCCAAAGTATGTTCCATAATAAAAAGAGCAAATAGAGTGGAGAATTTCAGCAGCTGAATTATGCCACTCACTTTGATACCTAAACTCTAGGTGACTGAGTTAGATAAGTGTGGACATATTGTGAAATGCAAAATTCCAACTGTTAATAGGTACACTGCTAAATGATCAAGGGTGGAAAACATTTTTAAAAATATAGGTGCCTCTATGAACAATATATAATTCTTAAGTAGTATAATGTTGAGGAATTCAGGATTTAAAGTGCTTGCATAGTTTGCAGACTATAGGGACAAGTATCTTCAACCATGAATGTCAGGTTTTGAGATGTTCTTGGATCATAAAATTCACCAGAAATGTAACACAGTACCATTTTCTGTTTTTCTTTTGAGACATTAAAGCGTGTACTACAGGCTCTTGATTACCCACAATGATGGAAGGAAGCTAAGGTAATGTGGAAAGGCACATGAAAAATAACATAAACTTTATAAAAGGTTATCAACTCCATCAGGTGTGACTCATAAATGTTTTTTTCTCCTTTTTAATCTTTCATTCTTGACATGTTTCAGTCTGAGAGACCATCTTCAGAAGGATATATCAACACCATTACAATGTGATTGGTCAATATCAATACATACATACAATATCGTTACAGTGCCATGAATATAAAATCGGATCCTTTAACAACTACAGTGATATGTTAAAATATTTATAAATTATTATAATCAGTTTGTTTACAAGCATGGTTGAAAAAGACTTTGTTAAAATTTAGAACCAGTTTGGTTCGTGTCCTTTATACTGCCTCTCTTTAAAGGAAGTTGAGTGTCTACCGCGTCGTGGTTCAGTTGTTTGATGAATAGGACTCTGCAAATATATTATGGGTATAATATATATAATATTTATTTCCCAGTTTATTTTTCCATTCTTTGAATCTGGAAAAGAATGCCTATAAAGAACAAAAATGGGTCACATTTACCTATACAGGAAATTTTATATATGAAAAATCACAAAACTATTCAAAAACACCAACATAAAGATAGCCTTTAAAACAACTTCCTCCATAGGTAAATTAGTAAATGAGAAGCTTGAAACAAACCCTTATGAACAAAATGGGATATACAAAATAACCTGCCAAACTGGTAGAAATCTAACAACAAGATATAAAGAACACATAAGATTTAACAAAGACGAATCTGCATTTGCCCAACATATACTAAATAAATTCCACTAGTATGAACCTATGACAGTAATCATGGAAATGGCTGAGTATGCTAAAAAAGGGAACCTCCTGAATATAAAGGAAAACTTCTACATATATCACTTTAATAAATTGATAGAAGAACAAAACCTACAAAGGATAGTGATAACCAGTATAATATGTTGGACATCGTAATAAAACATCAGTACACGCGCACACAAATGTTGTGAAGCACAAGGAGTATAAATATGCAACTCAACGCATGTTAGAACAGTATAACACAGCGACCTCGAACAACAGGACGGCACTAAAGGTAGGATTAAATAATAAAATCGGGATTATGGATATACTACATTATACCCATACTATATTTGCAGAGACCTGTTCATCAAACAATGGAACCACAACGTGGTAGACACTCAACTTCCTTTAAAGAGAGGCAGCATAAAGGACATGAATCAAACTGATTCTAAATTAAGTCTTTTTAAACCACACTTGTAAACAAACTAATTATAATAATTTATAAATATTTTAATATATTCATGCACATCGCTGTAGATGTTAAAGGATCAGATTTTATATTCGTGGCATTGTAATGATATGAGGGGTGGTCAAAAAGTTCCCGGAATGGTGGTATAACACTCTAATGGTAGGACATACGGCAACGTTTACCTAATCACCTTCATAGTAGGACCCTTGCGTGCACACACACTTGCTCCATCCATCCTGCCATTGTTGGATGCAGCGGTGGAAGGCTTCTTTTGGAATCTTCCGGAGCTTAGCCGTTGCATTNTAAAGGACTCAAACTGATTCTAAATTAAGTCTTTTTAAACCACACTTGTAAACAAACTAATTATAATAATTTATAAATATTTTAATATATTCATGCACATCGCTGTAGATGTTAAAGGATCAGATTTTATATTCGTGGCATTGTAATGATATGAGGGGTGGTCAAAAAGTTCCCGGAATGGTGGTATAACACTCTAATGGTAGGACATACGGCAACGTTTACCTAATCACCTTCATAGTAGGACCCTTGCGTGCACACAAACTTGCTCCATCCATCCTGCCATTGTTGGATGCAGCGGTGGAAGGCTTCTTTTGGAATCTTCCGGAGCTTAGCCATTGCATTCGATTTGATGTCCTCCATGGTTGCGAAACATGTCCCCTTGAAGCCCATTTTCAGAGTAGGGAACAGCCAAAAGTCACTCGGAGCGAGATCCGGAGAGTATGGTGGTTGAGTGATGACAGGAATGTTTTTTCTTGGCGAGGAATTGCTGCACAACAAGCAATGTATGGCTCAGTGCATTATCATGATGCAGAAACCACTGTCCCTGGCACTTGTTGCGCCGCTTCCTGTGAACCGCATCCCGCAACCTTTGCAAAACTTGCACGTAGAAATGGCCAGTAACAGTACCAACTTCTTGCTCCAACTCCGCAATGGTCGTTCTTCGATCACATCGAATCAATTTTCACATTTTGCCAATCATTTCTTCAGTTCTGGATGTCAAAGGTCTCCCGCTGCACTGGTCATCCTCTAAGATCTCCTGTCCATTCTTAAACTGGGAAAACCAGTCATAAACTGCAGATTTCTTTAGTGCAATATCACCGTAAACTTGCTGCAGGGCCAATAGCGTCTCTGAAGCAGATTTTCCCAATTTGAACATGAACTTGATGTTCGCACGCTGTTCGAACTGCGACATTGCGCCGAATGACCAACACTTACGTCTAATTGAATCAGAACAGTAATGACACTGCACACTGAAACCTGTCCAGACCTGTTGCACCTGTGAGCAGACATGCTGAGCTTCCTACCACAACAGTGTGTGTGCTATCTTACTGCTCGTTCTCCGTCTGCAGGGGAATTCTGGGAACTATTTGACTGCCCTACATATTGTATGTATGTATTGATATTGACCAATCACATTGCAATAGTAGTTTCCATCTGTATTGATATATCCTTCTGAAGATGATCTCTCAGACTGAAACATGTCAAGGATGAAGGATTAAAAAGGAGAGAAAGAACATTTATGAGTCACACTTGACAGAGTTGATAACCTTTTATAATATTGCTAGTGTGATGGATCAGGATGAACCAAATCAAACTGCTTTGGAATTCATATTCGTACTTACACTTGAAAAGTGTTTTTCATGCTGCGTAAGTTTACTTCACATGAATAAAAAAGAGCATCACACATACAGAGAAAATACTATGTGTAGTAGTACAAAATCACTATGGACTACTTTAAAATATGTTGTTGACAATTAGGCTCTGAGTCTACCTGACAGTTTGTGCCATATAAGCAAGGAAGAGCATTATAATAGTTTATTTGACCTTATGAAAGTAATGCCCTTTCTTTGTCCTCACATGCATAGTCAGCCAGTCTTAAACCATTATTCAGAGTTCTCAGTGTTGAAATTTTCAGTCTTCAGTACACCAGTTTGGCACAGAAGTTGTTTCCCAATAAGAGCCAGTACATTGTCAGGAAATATCTTCATGATTTGCCTGTAATAGTCAGCCTGATTATCTGTGCTGTTGTATATACACAGTGTGTCCAGGTTCTATTAGGACTGTGTTATTAAAAATTCAAGACGTGAATTATTTTCAAAATTTCACTCTTTTTTATTCAAAATAGTCTCCTTCTGAATTCATACATAGCTGGACTCAATTGAAAAGTTTTTTAAAACAGTCACTATACTCCTTTTGTGGAATCACATTTAAAACTGCAGTACATTCCCTTTGGATGTCCTGGATGGTGTCGTGGCGGTCTCCTTTCATCGCCAACTTAACTTTTGGGAACAACCAGAAATCTGGCGAATATGGAGGATGATCAAGGACTGTGATCCCTTTTCTGACCAAAAAATTGCACCCGATCTTCAATTTATGGGGTAGGGCATTGTTGTGGAGGAGCGACCAGGAGCATTGCTCTTGATATTCAGGTTGAATTCGAAGAATTCTTGCCCACAAACGATTGAGGACTCAGAGATAGTAATCAGAATTCACTGTTTGACCTTCTGGCAGAAATTCCTTGTGAATGATTCCTTTGGAATCAAAGAAAACGGTTAGCAGTGTCTTTACTAGACTCTTCTGCATGTGCACTTTCTTTGGTTTTGGCTTCTTTTGGCTCAACCACCCTCACTCTGCCGCTTTGTGACAGGCTCAGATTGAAAACACCACGTGTCATCACCAGTAACAATGGATTTTGTAAATTTTATATCACTTTGGGCTGACCGTAACCTGTCTTTGCAGTGTTCCACTCTGGCATGTTTTTCATCACCTGACAGCACGTGCGGTACAAACCACGCCCAGACCTTCCGTTTGCCCAAATCCTCAGTCAAAATTTGATGCACAGTACTTTTTGGTATTCCCAAAATCTCCTCGATGAGTCTTGCAGAAACACATCTGTCTGATGCAAGTATTTCGGTCACTTTTTTCACATTTTCTTCAGTGCCACTTGTTCTTGGCTTTGATGTACGTGGAGCATCTTCAGTGTCCTAACTGCCGTCACAAAATACAGCATACCATCGAAAAATGTTTGAGCGACTCAAACAATCACTACCATACACACTTTTCATCATTTTGTATGCTTCTCTGGCTGTTCTGCCTAACTTCAAACAAAATTTGATGTTGGCTCTCTGTTCAACTGCCATTTTCCAATGAGCGTCAGAACAGTACTGTTACATTCAAAATCAGAACACACAATGCAGCAATGCTTGCACTTTTAAATTATAGACAGCCACAGCTGAAACTTCAAGAATCTTAATGCCACAACTTGCCAACAGATGGCATTGCAGGGCAAAATTAAAAAAAAATGAGTCCTAACGAATCCTGGACACACCGTGTATATATATTCCAGCTAATTGCCAGCATCTTTCAACTCCTTGACATTCTTCTGGATTCATCTTGCTGGATGGTACTTAATCATCACAGAAATGACTTTTGTGTCCATAAATCATGTCAGTGCCAAGTATATTGTACATATTTTCCCATTATCTGATTTTAAGACCCTTTCTTCAAAATTTGTGGGTACATATCCAACTGCAGTACAGCCTATCCTAGTAGACATCATGACAGAAGTCTTCAAACCAGATTCTGAAATTGGTCCAGTCCATGTATGCAATTTTCTTACCAGTAAAGGAGGACATAAATGGCCATTCAGAAA